TAAAAAAATGACCTATAATATCAAATTGAAATGCATCAAATTTGGGTCAGATGCCCCTCTTTAGTTTCATGCATACACACACTCATGTATCGGATATAATTATATGAATATTCACAATGTCTGGACAGAAAAGGATCTTTCGAGGATGACGATAAAGAAATAATAACGGTTTCAACCGAGGAAGCCTATGGAATGGGAATGAGAAGCATGTTGAGATGGGTGAGAAGAAATATGAATCCAAAGAAAACTAGGGTTTTCTTCACCAGCATGTCCCCTACTCATGCAAAGTGAGTATAACTTAGATTAAACTCTCTATTTTCAACGATCGTATCACATTTAAAATCGAATCAGATCATTTTAAATTACATCTTTAATCGTTTGATGATGGAACCATTTTTTGATTGGCAGAGGCATTGATTGGGGAGGTAGACCAAGCGAGAACTGTTACAACCAGACAACAATGATCGAAGATCCAAAATATTGGGGTTCGGATTGTAGAAAAAGCATAATGAAAGTGATTGGTGAAGTGTTTAGTAAATCAAAGTACCCCATCACGTTCCTTAACATCACTCAGATGTCGAGTTATCGCAAAGATGCGCACACTTCGATTCACAAGAAGCAATGGAATCCGTTGACGCCCGAGCAGTTGGTTAATCCAACTAGCTATGCCGATTGTGTTCATTGGTGTTTGCCCGGTCTTCAAGATACTTGGAACGAGCTTCTCTTTGCCAAATTGTTCTATCCTTGAATCTATTTTGTTGGTTTCTAATATGATTACTTATATATATATATATATATTTGTGTTAACTTTTTAACCGATTCGATCAATGGTAAAATATACAATCGATTTCACAAAAAAATAATTAAATCACGTCATGATACGAAAGAAATATGTAACCCCCTAGATCCGGTCTATGCGTTTCGACTAAGTTTAGTTAATCACATTCACGATTCTTAAAGATATTATTCTGAAACCATTATTCAATCATAGTAAAATCACATTATAAATGACGTTTATGAAATTATAATAATTTATACTATAAAAATACAACTCATAAATATAATGAAAAAAAAACAAATTAATTTAAACATGTCTTAAAAATCCAAATTTTTGATAAACCAAATGTAAGTAGCAAAGAAGTAATCTTTATAAAATCCAATACTTTAAAATAAGACACATGTTACCAAAATAGAGTCAACTTAAAAGATAAAACATTACAATACGATATACTTCAAGAGATATGTTGATCCTCCAAGTGCTCAATCAGGTGAATCTAACCAACAGTATCTGAAAGGAGAAAACATTTTCGAAAAGTGAGCTAGGCTTAGTGTGTCCCAACATTACTATAAAATCATGATAGGTACACTAAACAAATCATAGTCCAGTAAATCTCATAAAAATTATACTGCAGTAAATCTCATAAAAGAGTTACCCTAAGGGAACATCTTAGGGCCTGAGAGCCTACCCAAGATAGATTTCGGGGCCGTGGCCTAAGAACACATCTTAGGGCCGCAGGGCCTACCCGAGAATGATCTCAGGGCCGCAGAGTCTACCTAAGAGTCACATTAGGTCCGTAAAATTTTCCAGCTTGATCAGAGCTGTACTTTATAAATTTGTATTCCAAAAATTCAATTGCACTGTGACATAAATTCCATTAATCCATAAACATGGTAATCATATACCATTTCAAAACAAAATCAGATAGCGGTCATAATCCATAAACCATCACATTAAATCGATGCATAAATAAAACAGTAACCAATGAATTCAGTGTACCACTTATTAAAACAAATAAAACAGTTCAGTAATAAATAGGGAACACACCTCGATAATAGGTTCAAGTAGTAGATCTACTGATTGCTGGTCTCACCACGTTCTGCTACAGTTTTCGAACCTAATTTATAATAACACTATATTACTAATGGATAACATAATTAATCTCTAAAATCATAAAATTTACAGATCTTACGGGTGAATACTGGCACACGTGGTTTAACTAATTTAGAAGAGCTGGGTCGTCGAACGATCCGAAGAGTCTCTTGTACCTTCAAACAATAATAATTTATCAGCCCCAAGTCTTACTTAATTGTTCAAAGCTAAATTCTTAAGTATATAAGCATTTTCCGGGTTTGACTATCAATTTGGAGGATTTCGAGTCTGAATTTGACCAAACGGATTGCGGAATCAGAATCACGACGTCAAAAAACATAAAGTATGACTTTTTGAAAATTCAAATTCTTAGTGAAAATCAAAGTCAACGGGCTTGACTGATGATTTGGACGCCTTCGGGTTCGAATTTGGCAAAACGAACTTCGGAAACGGATTCGAAACGTCGAAAAATGTCAGAATAGGTATACTCGAACAAAATCAAAGGTCGTTTAATGACTGTTTAAAGCCGGTCAAAATTGTGGTCAAAGGGATTCAATAGTCCACATTCAAAAATTCCTAAAATGTCACTTTTTTTAAAATAATTCCCAAATTGTCATTTTTACAAAAATCCCCATAATATCACCTTTTTCCACAAAATCCCCAGAATGTCATTTTTTTCACAAAAATTCCCAGAATGTTACATTTTTCATAAAAAATCCCAGAATGTCACATTTTTCACAAAAATTCCCAGAATGTCATTGGGTCGGGTCGGGTCGATCAACGGGTCTGGTCAGACCGGTCAACCCGGTCAAACCGGTTCAGACCGATCAAACCGGTTTGGACCGGTCAACATGAAATCAACCAGTTCGAAGCTCCCCCACGCGCAGGGGCGGCGCGTGGGGGCGCATGAGGCATCGTCCGGTCTCCAATAATTCATGAAAAAAATTCTAAAAATTCTTTTAAGCGATTTTGAGTCACTTACCAACCTCGGTTTAAATTTTTGAACGGTGGAGAGCTCGATTTTAACTCGGCCGAATCTTTGACCGCTCCACCTCCCACACGCGCCGCCACCTACGGAGACAAGGACGACACCGTCGGACTCAGAACGACACCAGGAACACGATGGTACGGGAGGTGTCGAAAACCGATCAACGATCGGAGATGAATTTAAGATTTTCCCGGCGGTGGTGCTAAAAAAGCGTCGATACTTTGACTCAAAATTCACGGCGTTTGACAGCGTTTCGCTAAAATTGGTTTATTGGGTTTTGATCACAGGTCGAAGATGAACACGATGGTGGTTTCAATTTGACGATCGGAGGTCGGACGGCGTCGGAATCAGGCTTTGAAGTAGAGTTCACAGGAGGAGGAATTATAAATTGCTTGTGTTTTTTGATTTTGAAATCAGAAAACACGTTTGGTTTATAACCAAACCTGCCGACACTTATTGGAGGAATTCAGGGCTTGGTCCCTGAATTTCCTTCAACTTTTAAAATGGCCTATAAATTTTCATAAATTTTAATTTAGCCACTAAATTTCACCAAATTACACCGATTTAATAAAAAAAAATTCTCGGGTTGTTACAGAATAATATAAAGAGATTAATATTTTGACCAATATATTTATATAATACTTTAAATGTGTTTATTGTTGACAATATTAAATGGGTTGTGTTAGTTATTGCCGGTTCATCCATTCTGATTTAGACGCGATTATTATTGACGAGATCAAATGAGTTGTGATGGTTATTTATGGTTCACCCATTCTAATTTAGACAGAGAGTCGCATTTGGTGAGTAATCGACCATTAGTTGTTATCAATAAACTTTGTCTCCTTGAGGAGGTAGAGTAGAGGAAAATAAGAGTGAGATGATTTTATTGAGCTCAAATCTTGTCTCTCAATTTTAATTAAGAAATTTTATAGTGGGTCTTTAGTGTTTGGTCAGCCGTGGGACCATAATAGTTACCTGAATGCTAATTGACTAAGTGGATACGATTAGATGACGATGAATTTAACTTTGATAAATCATGTGGATTTATCAAAGGTCGTATCAGATAATCAAGATTTCCCGAAATTTAGATCTTTAAAATCTTTCTCTTTATATCTTTTGAAGGTCTCTAGATGATGAAAGGTCGAAGATATTCTAAAGTCCTTCGGCAATTATGAGATTAAAAAATATATATACGGAGGACCTTGAACATAATAAAACAATTATAATATAACAAAAAATATAAAATTTGATACTTGTTATAGACTCTACCTTTATCTTGATTCATTCAACATAGAAGGCTTAGTTGAAGTAGGCAACAAGGCATGTTTCACTCAACAAGACAACTTGTCTTAAAAAAACCTCTTTAAAAAATAACTTTTTCCTTTTTTTCTTCATTATGATGTATAGCCATATGATATTTATATTGTTCGATTTTAATAATTTTATTTAGTATTAAAAATGCATTTAAAGTATTAATGTTTATAAAATTTTGAATATGTTAATAAATCTGTTTATATAATTAAAATTTGGCTTAAATAAACAAAAGGTGTCCAAGGTATGCCCGTTTTTCCATTTTAGTACCTAATGTTTCATTCCGTTACTCAAAATGGGTCACGCCGTGACGGACCGTTAGTTTTCTCCGTTAAGTAACACGTGTCACAATCTGATAATTTAAAAAAAATAAAAATAAATATTAAAAGTATTTATTATATTTATAAAAAAAACCCTTATTTCTTTTAAATTACAAAAAAAGCTCAAATCCTAACACCGAAGCTTACCTACAGCGGTGGACGGCGACTACGATGTGACCCACCGGTTGGGTTTTGAGCGGACGACGACGAGGAAGCTAAATATAGTGGCGGTGAGGCTAACGGAGGTCTAAGGCGGTCGGAATCGTCCAAAATACGAGGCGTCGTGGTGGGTTTTCGACGAAACTTCAAGGGTTCGATTCTGGCAAACGGCGATGACTATCCACGAATTGTTTTGGGGGCTTTGATCATGGCGGCGAGGCGCTTTGATTGGGCTGGGCGGTGACAGGAAAGGACGAGCGGCAGCGGCGGTCGGCTTGGGTTTAGGGGTTGAAATGAAGGTTTTCAAAGTTTTGGGATTATTTTGAAATTAATGTGTTTTTGATTTTAAAAACTACATAATTTTTGGATTTTTCTCATTCTGACCAGCATTCTCGTTGATGTTGTTCTGAGCAACATTTTCATTTAAACTTGAATTGTTATTATCATTAGTGTTGCTCTGATTGTCACTGCTGTTGTCTCTCCCATTTACATTTGCGTCATTGCTGGTATCGTCGCCACTCTCATTCTGACCAGAATCGGCATTATCATTAGTGTTCAAGGATGCTGTCCTCCCTTTGGCAATTGAAGAATCAGATGAATGAACTTCTTCACTCTGGTCAGTATTTGAACTCCCAATTGTGATTAACGAAATAAGTTTTTCTCGTGTACCCTCTACTCCAGAGTTATTGTTGGATTCATCAATCTGAACTCCATTTTGGCTTGAATTGAAGATGGAAGAATCGATGTCCGATCCTCTCTGTGCATCAGAGTTCTCAATCTGCCCATTTGATTCAACGGATTAAGAGTTTCTGGTAGAGGTTGCAGAACCTCTGTTAGCTCCATTCATGTGCTCAGTCAAAGCAGCAATTGCATATAAATCTAACCGTCCGTCATCACCACCTGATTTGGATTTCTCCAATTGCTGATCATTTTCATTCTGAGAATGCTGGTCAAAATGAGAATAATCCCAAAAATTATATATTTAAAAAAAACACATTAATTTCGAAATAATCCCAAAACTTTGAAAACCTTTATTTCAACCCCTAAACCCACGCCGACCGTCGTCGTCGCTCGTCCGTTCCTGTCACCGCCCAGCACAATCGAAGTGCCTTACCGCCCAGCCTAATCGAAGTGCCTTGCTGCCATGATCAAAGCCCCTAAAACAATTCGTGGATAGCCGTCGCCATTCGCTGGAATCGAACTGTTGAAGTTTCGTCGAAAACCCACCCCGACGCCTCAGATTTTGGACGATTCCGGCCCCCTCGGACCTTCGTTCGCCTCATTGCCACTATATTTAGCTTCCTCGTCACCGTCCACTCAAAACCCAACCGGTGGGTCACGTCGTAGTCGTCGTCCGCCGCCGTGGGTAAGCTTCGGTGTTAGAATTTGGGGTTTTTTTAATTTAAAAGAAATAAGGATTTTTTTATAAATATAATAATATTTTTAATATTTATTTTTATTTTTTAAAAAAAATTACCAGATTGTGAAACGTGTCACTTAACGAAGAAAACTAACGATCCATCATGGCGTGACCCATTTTGAGTGACGAAAAAAAACGTTAGGCACCAAACTAAAACAAAAAAAAATGTTAGACACTAAACTAAAAAAACGAACATATATTAGATACTTTTTGTATATTTAATCCTTAAAATTTCGATAAAAGTGTATATCATATTTATATTATAATTTAATTATTTTTTCTCGATCAAGTTGCAGACAAGAAGCACGTGTAGAGGGGTGATTTTCTTACCAGATTCCAGGCTGTTTCAAATATGAGAAAATCGCATGACATTATATAGCAAGTGGCCAATATGGCTTTTCAAAGTTGAACAAAAAGATCACTTTAATTAGTTCTTTTTTGGGATAATTTATAACCAATAATCTTTGCATGCAAGCCATTTGAATTGTTATCATAATTATAATGTTAATCGAACTAATCAAATTAAAAGATAATAAATAGTATGTTCAAATATGTAATCTTCGAATTGTTATCATAATTATAATGTTAATTTTTTATTAATAGTTAAAAAATGAGAGAAGAAAAATTAGAAAAGATGTGCAAAATTAATATCAACTTGCCTTTTTTCTACAACAAGTTGGGTTTTTTTCCATAAAGAAATCAAGTTGCAATTTATCAAGAAGATTTTGATTCTTCTTTTACTCCCAAGAAAATCAAATAAAGCATATTAAAGTTTAAAACGTGATTAACAACTGATTAATAATAAAATTATTTTCATCTATTCTGAAGCAATCGCAACCTATCCGTACATAAAAATTCTAAAGATATATTCATATAGTATAAGATAATGAACATTTGAATATATATATATATATATATATTGTATTGATTCTTTAACCTCTATTTCTTGTCAGTATGTTCCGCGATGGATTAAAATTTTTCAAAAGAAACCTATAAATTTTTTTAAATTTATTATGGTATGGATATGACAAGTCTCTAGCATGTCATGCACAGGACTTTATGATCATCTTTGCCTAATTATCAATTTATTTATTGAGTTTTAGTTTATATATTGATCTAGTCACTAAATTTTAAAACACTTCAATTTCAACATTAAACTTCCGACAATTTTTTGGTAAATAAACCGTTGTATCATTAATGACATGATGACATGGCTATTTTTTCTTTATAAAGAGAAAATTGTTAACTCCTGATCGTTATTGTTGGTCAATTGTCATCCTTCATTGACCGTTATTCACGACAATATCAATATAAAAATAGTTGTAATTTACTAGTCTTTCTTCTCCTTGATTGTTTTTTTTTTACAGAATCCACTAAAAATTGATAAAAATTCATCTAAATGTTCGACTTTTTATGGATAATTTTGTGGGTTTTAAAGAGATTTTAAGAAAGTATAAAGTGGTAAAGTGATAGGGATCAGTGAAACGAATTCATCAATTTCTAAGGAGAACGTAAAAGACGTCAAAGAGTGATAATTTTCGACGATGATAGAAATGGATGAAAATCATAATTTTCATGAAGAATATGAGTGTAATAAAAAAACTATTTTTTCTTGGATGCAACCACAAATCAATACCAAATTGTCACGTCATCCAAATATTACAGGTTCAATGACAAAAAGAATATCAAAAGTTTAATGCCAAAATTGACGTATTTTAAAATTTAGTGACTAAATAGATACACAAATTAAAGTTCAACGACTAATGAGATAGTTTCCTCTAAATATTTATATTAAACGTGAATATATTATGGCAACCCCAATTATTCGTTCGTACATTACAAATTGGATTTTTTTTATAATGTTTTTTAATCCAAGGATATTATTACATACATAAATTTGACGTTTTTTAAAATAAAAATTGATTAATATCTATACACTTTAAAATAATTTTTCTTTGAAATGAAAATTTGCATGGTTTTACCAACAATTACTAGTGGGATGAGACACTAGGTCCCTTAAGTAAGGTCACGAGTTCGAATCATGACGTTTGTGAATAGAGCAAGCTGGGTTGGGAGGATCGCCCTCGCCTCTACATTACCCGATCTGGATTAATTAATCAATAGATTGAATACTAGTGATTAATTAAATTTTTTTTCCACATGGTTTTATTGATGAACCTATGTAAAATCAATTATCGATATGAACTTTGTTAAAAAAAATTCTTAGACTTAAACGAACGAAAAAAGAGTATGCCATATCGATAAACAAATTACACATATTCTAACACGAATCAAAACAGCCAAGACACAGAATTGACTATACTTTCCTTGATAAACCAAGAACTAGACATCTCCAGCATTTACCGCCCCTTCATAACACTGTACTGAGACCTACACTTTAAAATAATTTGATTAACCCAACGGAAGATATTTGATGTTATTTTAAGTAAGAAATGATATTTTTGGAAAGAAATAAAAATAATTTATATTAATAAATATATAACTTTTTTGACAGACCAAGTGGAAATGAAAAATTAATAAAACTAAAAGCCTTTCTCCATTGAAACAAAGAAGGAAATACATTCACAATTACATACAAATTGACTGTTAACGTACAAATTAGATCATTGATACTACTATGGTCACATACAATCTCCTTCAACTTCATTAAGGTTTGATTTTGATCTATGAATCTCGATACAAAATTTCATTAATAAATATTTCATTCCTCGTCATTAATCGATTTCGTGTCGAGAAAAAAAAAAGAATAAAGAGAGCTAATTTAGGGGAAAATTAAATGGATGATGTTGCCATATTTTCAGCCATTTGAGCCAAAGATTGAAGGTTGCAACGTACAATAGTATCAACAAAAGTGCATGTATCATCTCCTGTATTACCCTGTGGTATATCGACGACGAACGACTCGACGACGACTGTCCCGTTACCGGAAGCGTGTAGAGTCGTGACGGACTTGTAATTGTTCAACCTATGAACACCGCCGACCACGCTGAAACTAAGCACGTGACGTTCATCGTCGAGGATCTCGAGCCTTTCGGTGCTGAAGTCGGCGGGGAGACCTGATATCACGTGGACTTCACGGAGGCTGCCTACGTTGCCGTCGCCGACTATGACTTGACAGCTTTTAAGGAAGTGCTTGTAAGCCTGAGGGTTATCGAAACGGCGAACGACCGACCAGACGGTTTCCACCGGGGCTTTTATGGATTGGACCACGCCGGAGCAACACTGATTAGGACGCAAGTTATGGGTGTGGTAAGCCGAGACCATGTCGGGGACGGAAACACCGGTGGGGACAGGGAAAAAGGTCGTGAGGGTGGTGGGTTGAGGGTGTTGTCTTTGGTGGTGGTTGTGGTAGCTGCCTACGGTGGCGATGGTCCGGTGAAGCTGGAAAGAGGAAGGCATGTTGGGTGAAAAGATGTGGGATTGGAAATGGAGAACATGTTGTGAATATATACTATAAGAGTATATTTTCTTAATATGCAAACAGGCTTACGCCGGACCCTGCAAGTGGATCGACAAGTTGAACCTTCTTTGGACTTTGTTTTTGGTAGATTTTTCAATTTATTTTATTCAAACTATAAGATTCTACACTCTTTCTTTGTTGATTTTCTTTTAAACTCAATAAAATTTGGCTTGTTGCTGTTTTTTTATATTAACATTTTGGGTAAATAACCTATTTGGCTATTAAATTATTATTTTATTTTTATTTTTAAATTCACCTCTAACATCATTTGAGAATTTCTTTACTTCAGAGATTTAAAATTTCTAAATCCTAAACCCAAGATTCTAAAGTCCTAAATTGGAGGTTGTTATACGATTAAGCACTCTCAAATCTGCAAGCTTTAAAATATTATGATAATAAAAATGACAATCGAACTAAAACCGAATCTATAATTTGAATTTGGTTTTTAAAACCATTGTGTTGTTAAGAAAATAAATTAAAGTGACTCTTAATACAACATGATTGCAACGAACATATATTATCCCTCGATTACAGAGTATTGCTTTGTTGAGTCCCTCGACTATTAAAATATATAAAATGGTCCATCGAGTATTAAAAGTTATATAATATCCCTAGATTAGAGGGCATGTCCCTCAACTATTAAAAATTACAAAACGGTAACTCGTCCTTTTTCGTTAAAAAAATGATGGTCGTCTGAGCTGGACGTCAACATGCTAATTAGAATATGATAGCCTTTTGAGATTCTGAGATCATATTTTATTATATCATAGTTAACATGTTATCGTCTACCTCAAACTACAATCTTTTTTAATGAAAAATTATCAGTTAGGTACCTATGAATAGTTAGATAACAATTTTATAACTTTTAATAGTTAGTTGACTCACTAAAGCATTTTTCTATAGTCGAGGACAGTGGCGGAACATAGTTAGGGTAAGTGGGGGCCATGGCCCCAAAAATTGAAAAATTTAATTTTAGACCTTTAAAATTTTCAAAAAATTAATTTGGCCCCATAAAATTTTTAGAAATTCATATTAAGCTTTAATTTTTTTAATGTTCTTAAATAATCAATCCCATAATTTTTAAAAATTCTCATTAAGTCTCTCAAATTTTCAAAAAATTTAGTTAGACCCTATTTTTTTTTTGAAAAAAAATATAAATTGAACTCTTCAAAAAATTTAAAAATTTTAATTTAAACATCTAAATTTTTTAAAGTTTTAAGTTAGCCCCTCCAAACTCTATTACCAAGTTCCGTCACTGCGGGAGACGTTATGTACTTTACCCAAATAAAGAAAAAAACATTACATATATATATTAATTGTTCTTAAAGTTGATTCCTTTATTAACTAATCCTTGAATGGTGAATCTCGGATGGAGAGTTTTGCTTTTTCTTTTTCTTATTTAGAAAAACAAATTAAATATGATGGTGATTTTTGCTTATAAATTGTGATGGAAATGTATATTTTTATATTTTATTTTACTTTTCGAAATATATAATTGGTAGGACCGAAAGCCAATAAGCTAAAATATGAAACAATAAGCTAAAATTTAAAAATCTAAAGCATGAATAAATATGAAACAATACGACGTCGAGGGTACACAAAATATATTGAAACATATATTCTTTGCCTTTGAATATAATAAACAAATTTCATTAAAAACATATTGAAACTTTTATAACATAACTTATATGTCCACATATTTATATAATATTTTTAAAATTTAAATATTTATTAGATTTTGTCATACTTATGAAGTGAGTAAATTAAAATATTTTATAATATATTTATAAAAACTAATTCAATAAATGGTTATAGTTAGAGTGATGAATTTTGTGTATAATTTCATTAGTTTTGTGCTGTATCCTGAAATAATTAATTTTAGTTATTTTACTTAAAAATTATATAAAAATATGAAAAGATAAAATTATCTTTATATTAATATTAATTACCATTTAAAAATATTTTTAATATTTTAAATTAAATTAGCACTCGATAAACCTAAGATACCAAGTCGATCAAGGGTTTATAATAATAGAAAGGAAATATAATTATGCCATTTTTTAATTCACCCAACTTGGCCTACACATACTTTTACTTTGAAAATAACCTTGGGAATACCATTGCACCTCCTTGGCCCTTGCTCACCAATTTATTATTATTATTATCATTATTATATTAAATAATTAACACTTAGAAACTTATTAATTAAGTTATTATAAGATACGATTAAAATTAGGAATAAATTATAGGAAAATTTATAATATGAAAATTTGATTTATATATAAAAAATTTAATTTGATTCAAGTTTTACACATACAAATAATTAATTCATTTATTTTTAAAACATATATAATTGAATTAAAATAAAACTTCATGTATATATTTAAACTATAATAAAAACAGCATGTGAATAATCAGACAAAACTAAAATCTATATACCAAATTATACATCAAATCGAAAATTATTTATAAATTTAATATATATCACTTAAAATTATTGGATAATGAAGTTGGGGTTTAATTAGTTTCTTTTCTGAAATTAATACAACAAGATATCATGATAAGTATGAAACCCACTTGGGGTAGAAAACAAACATTTTAACACCAATTCCAACAATGTCGACATCATAGAAAGCTATCCAACAAGGTTGATTTCCCTCCTTAATGGTAATTCATCATCCAAATTATATTTATATAAATTTTTAATGTCTTTTTAAACAATAGATTTGGTTGTTTAATTTTATTTATAGACACCGTTAAATCTTGTTTAATTTTTGTGGTTAATAAATCATTTTTTATTAAATTTTAAAAATACTACATTAATTACACTTTCTTTGAAGATATCAACCTAAGCATTAATTTATATATTTTTCTTTAATAATCTGGAATTGACAATTATTCATAAATTTCTTAATTTATTAACAACGCACGCACAATCTACAAACATTGTTGCCCTATATATTCTAAATGCATGAAAATCACTCAAATTAAAGAAATACTTCATGTTTATTATTTATTATAAAATTTGTATATAACATATATTAATTAATTAGTCGAGTAGCTAAATATACTCATATTATCTCATTTTGTATGAATTCAAATCTTGATGTTTACATTAAAATATAACATTTTTTCACTTAATAAAAAATTTATATTATAAAGTAATTTAACTAATCTTAAAACATTATTAAAGAGCACTTGTTAACAAAAATATCAATGCATAAACAAGGCAAGGGTTCAATAATTCCACATATCAAATTGGTTATAATTTATTTGTCCCCCTTTAACTTTAATCATCTCTAACTCCCCCCATTTTAATTCAAAGGAGGCCATCTTTTTTTCTTGATACATTAAAGTTTAGGTCAAGGTGGCTCCCTCGGTCTAGGTTCAGGGTATATCTAAGACACAATCGGGATTTACATAGGAATTTAGAGATTGTCCACCAAGAGTGACGATGGTAGAATTCAAACTTAACCTTACAAGCTCAAATTCTTGAATCCCAACCACTTGTACTAACACACGTTGGAAAAGAAGACCATCATATTTTTATTATTAAATATTATGAAAAATTTAAAATTTTTAATTTATACTTGATATTAAAAAAATAACTTATATGAGATTTAAATAATATTTTTATAATTATATTTAAAAACCAATCATCAAAAGTCAAAAGTTAGGTTTTAATTTCTCTAAACAAATGGTTTGAAAAATATTTTATTATTTCCAAAATAGCCTTATTCTTTATTATTTTTAATACTAAAATAATTTCAGGCTTCAAAAGCTGATTTGCAAAACAATGAAGAACTGACTTTAAGAGACTTTATTTATCTAATAAAAATATTTAGTAATAAAAATAAGAGTTTAACTAAATTGACATTTTTTTTCCAAAACTTTGATTTTAAGACAAAAAAATTCATATCTTCAAACTTTTGACACAATAATTATGTCATATTGACATTTTATTATGTATGCCCAAAAAATACACCAAAGGATATTTTCAAAAGAGATTAAAAAAAGAAAAGAAAAAAAAGCATATAGCTAAACCTAATACAATGAGAAGAACAATGGAATAAAATAAGAAAAAAATATTACTATTTGTAGAATTGATAAATTGTTTAACAGATAAGAAAATAATTAAATGCTAGTAGCCAAGTTGACTCAATAGGAAACATAAATAAAGTTGGATATGTAAAAAAAAATACCTGGTCAAGGAAATGAATATGGTAGGGTCCAAGTAAGGAGGAAAATAAAAAATGAAGGTAATTTTTTTTTTTTAATTTTTCAAGTTGAAATTTTTAAAAGTTGTCAATTTGTCATTAGAGAATTCTTTAGAAGGAACAACTTAATCATCTAGAAGATTAGTATTACTGCACAATAAGATAAATGTATAATCCAATTATATAAAATATTACTTTATTACATAAACTTATCACAATATTTTGTATAATTACACTATATAAAATATGTGATTTTTAGTATATTGCACAATTTATTTATTTTAAAACCCATTGCCCGAATTATTATTATTTTTGTTGAAACAACCGAACTAAAGTTAGAGTTACAAATTGTGCCAATAAAATCAAAACCCACAGTTTAAGCGTTGAGGACATGGTTTTGGTTGTTAATTTAAGGGGGAATGGTTGTAATATGCGTGGTTTGAAACCCCCATCCCAACCCCATTGATTTTTAATTTCTTTTTAAATATCGTTGATCTATTCTTCTTAATTATTTTTTATTTATAGAAATTTATCATGAAATGACTCTCTCAACTCAATTTTTTTATTCACAAACAATAATATTCAAACTCTTGATTTTACTTTAAAAAAACTTTATTCTCTATCCCATTGCATCTAACATTTAAGAGTTCTATCTGATTAAGTAGAGTATAAAGATGGATAACCTTTTTTTTATTGAAATTTGTCAGAAAAAGGTCTCTATTTTGGCAAATTGAACGAGTCGAACAA